GGGGTATGGATGGAATGAAGGTTGGGAAGCAGCTGGGACAATCCGGAAGGAAGAGACAGTGAAGTTGTGGGCTAGGTTAGAGGTAAGAGAGAATTGGAGATTGGGGCAAGGTCGACAGCACTACTCAAGGAACTGGGAAGGAGTGGGTGCCCCAGGCCAACCCCAGGGCCTGGGCTCTGTGGGAAAGTCCAGGGCTTTGTTGGTGTCCATCATCTGAGCCCCATCCTTATTCCCTCCTCAGCCAAATGGGTACCAGATTCGTCTGGCTTGAGGTTGAAGGTCTAGGCTTGTGAAACTGATTCCCACGCTGGCACGGGCATAGAGCTGGAGGGGGTCCCAGGAGGAGGTTGACCGGAACCTAGCACAGGCTGCATCCAGGGGACGAGGGCATGACCTAGGCTGCTCCCCACTGTTTCTTGCCAACTCTAGCTGATGTGGAAGACACAAATCTGCACGGCCCAAAGAGAGGGAGAAGTCAAAGTGCAGAAGCCCATGAACATCATGTCCATTGCACCTGCAGGGTTATTTGATCTTGTTACTGCCCCGAGCTTCCCCTGGGATTCCAAATAACTTTCTTCCCCAAAGCAAACTGGAGATGTTTCTCATTTCAAATCCGTCACTGGGGATATGGACTGCCTCCCGACTCAGGTGAAAACAGCAAGATCTCACACACTTGCATTGTGCTCAGATCTGTGACTGACCGTTTGCTCTCATGATAGAAATCTGTTCACAAAGCATAAAGCAGATACAAGAGTATTGCGAGGGTGAATTCACAGTTTTCCAGTCGTGAAAGGATCAATTCCACTTCCTAGCCAGACTGAGGAATAGCCAGCTGAGCAACACACCTTTTCAGAGGTACACAATGGGGAAGCTGAGCCAGGAGGGCCCCACCTTAGACTGCAGCTACAATTGCCCTCTCAGCTTTTCCTGATGCAGACCCCACCTGGAACAGTCCCATTCTCTCCGAGTAGGTTGTAGCATTTCTCTTAGAAGGTGGATCATGGACTATTGGATCCTGATGGATTATTGAGATCTATCAGACAACTCAGAGGAAAGTCATGTAAGGTCCCATGAGCTTTGACTTCGAACAGCAAGTTTCATGAAGCACAGCATAGGGAAAACCATTGTTCAGGATCGACACCCCCGTTTTCAATTGGTCCTGGTGTAAAAGGCAATCGTTTGATATCATTTCTAAACACTTGCCAACTGACAGCAAGCCAGGTTCATTGTTTAGGAGCTGCATAAGCCAAAGCCCCTTTTAGAGAGGTTTACCAAATAAAAGGGATGGATGGGGCCCTCAGAGAAGGGGCTTCCTATCCACCCTATCTCCCCTCAGTGCTAAGGACTGCTGTGGTTGGGCAGAACCGATCTGGATGAGGCTCTCACCTCATCCCCTGCTTTCCACACACAGGGTAATCAAGTACCAGCTTGAGGTCTTCGCATGAAAAGAACAAGCAAGCATCTTAGCATTTTCATAAGTGATAGCCAAATTGTTTCGGCTGTAACCGAATGAGAAAAGGTGCTAGGCGTAATGGATACCAAAGTTGACCTGTTTGGAACTTGAAAGCAAGCCTTTAGGAATCAGTGAGCCGACTTGCAGTGTGTTGAATGGATTTTCCCAGGACTTTCCCCAGAGAATGGGTATCTCCTGAGGAACATGTCAAAACTCCAACTTTCCTGTCTCCCCAAGGCTGCTGGTGGTGGGTAAGAGAGTTGGTGAGCAGGGTGTGCCGAACCTGGGTGAAACCTGCGGGCGTTCTGGGTTGGCCCAGGATCCAAGGCCATTGTCAGTGGGGCCCAGGCTGGAGCTGCTGCCCCTCCTTGCCCCTCCATCTCCCCAGCTGGGGGGAGGTGCAATTCCCAGGTGGGGGAGGAAAAGTGAAACTCTCTTGTCCTCCTCTGATCTGGGAGGAGAAGGGTTAAGGGGAAAACTCGGATGTGTTTGCCCCCTCCCCACTGAGTACCCTGTTGATTCCAAGGGAGGGAGTGGGGGAAGGGAATGACCAGGCTTGTAAGGAGGACTTTCCCAACTCTTTGACCATCAAGCACTAAACCTCCACAATCTGCTATGATGTGTGTGTCAGGTCTGACTTTTCAGTGTAGCCTGACTTGGGACTACCACAGGAAGAAGCGGAAGATTTTTTTTCTTTCTTAAATCGGGACCCTAATGCATTGTTGGTGGAGTTGTGAACTGATCCACCCATTCTGGAGAGCCATTTGGAACTATGCCCAAAGTGCTATCCAACTGTGCATACTCTTTGACCCAGCAATACCACTTCGAGGTCTGCATCCCAAAGAGATCATCCAAATGGGAAAAGGGCCCACGGGTGCAAAAATATTGAGAGCAGCCTTTTCTGGTGGCAAAGAATTGGGAAAGAAGGGCATGCCTGTCAGTTGGGAAATGGCTGAGGAAGGGGTGCTATATGAATGTAATGGAAGAGTATTTTGCTATAAGAAATGATGAGGAGGTGGACTTCAGAAAAACCTGAAAGGCACATGATGCAAAATGCTGCCCACATCCAGAAAAAGAACCATGGAAACTGAACGGTGATTGAGGCACAATATTTGCTCTCTCTCTGTCTCTCTCTGTCTCTGTCTCTCTCTCTCTGTCTCTCTCTGTCTCTCTCTCTTTCTGTCTCTCTCTCTGTCTCTGTCTCTCTCTGTCTCTCTGTCTCTGTCTCTCTCTCTCTCCCTCTGTCTCTGTCTCTCTCTCTCCCTCTCTCTCTCTCTGTCTCTCTGTCTCTGTCTCTCTCTCTCCCTCTCTCTCTCTCTGTCTCTCCATCTTTCTCTCTGTTTCTTTTTTCCTTCTGCTTTGTCCCATTAGTTCTGATTCTTCTTTACAATGTGAGGAATTGGAAAAGAGGCTTTTTATGAATGTATATTTTGAGCCTCTCTCAGTTTATCTGCTATCTTGGGGCGTGGACTAGAGAATTTTGAAGAAAATTTGGAACTCAAAACGTCAGGGAAGTGAATGTTGGAAACAGAAAACAAGCAAATAAATAAATTTATTGTTTTTAAAAAAGTTTCTTTTTTTATTTCGTTGACGTTTGACAGTCTATCTTGTTCCTCTAGATCATAGAGGCCAGGCACAAAGCTTCCCTTCTAAAGGTCTTGGAGACGAAGCATTTTCCAGTGGTAAGGTCCGATGGGATGAATTTTTGGTGTGAGCAGAAGCAAGGATCAACCAGATAGAACTGACGCTCATTGGTTTGAATAATCACACATCACTTTATTGATCCACATGAGAACAAATCTATACAGATAGCCACTCGCAGTGTCATGTTCAGTCACATGTCCTACAGAGTCACCCGTATTCCTCAGCGTCATTGACAGGCCTCTGCCCTTTACTGCCCTGGACAGATCATGAGGGATCCAGGGCTACTTTCTTTCTGAGGAAGGTAAGGAGAGACGTCAGGGGGAAGAGGTCCTCCAGAGACTGTGGAGCAGGCAACTGTCTGTGACATCGTCAAAGGCTCTATGTCCCTTTGCCTGATCCAGAGAAACGTCCACTTTCGACTAGGTGGGCTGGACTGAAAGACACGTTGCCAATCCCACAGGAAGAAACAACGTCCAGTTGTAACAGCTGCTAGAGTCCTCCCATCTTCAAAGGCTGATGAGAGCTTCCCCTTTCTGCTGAGGAAATCTTTACAGATGCCCAGATCCCAAGCTGCCACTCAACGGTGTTTGTGGGAGATGAAGGTGTGGGCCCCCAAAGCTGCAGGGACACGGTCCAGTCTGTCTTTGTGGTCAGGCAGGTGTCGAGGGACACTTGCATACTGGACACTCTTCAAATCTTCAGACGGGAGGAGGTGAGGATGGGCTGAGTCCGCATCAAGGGTTCTATCCCTCTGGAAACTCTTGAGCACTTCTCTCAAGCCTGTGATGGGGCAGGTGGTCCAGGCAGGGGAAGCAAGCTCTGTTTCTTCAAGTAGTAGGCACCCCTCACGCCTTTCCCACGTGCCCTTTCTTTCCTGCAGCTCTTCCAAAGGGCACCCGGTCCAAATTCTCTTCTCCTTCTACAGTCCCAGCTTGTAGATTCTGGATTTGTTGGGGCAGCTTGGCCTTGCTGTGCTCCACTTTGACCATGTTGTCTCTGGATTCCTGGTGCGGTCTTTGCACGTATGACTGTTCTTCATCCCAAGAGAACTCGTGCATCTTCCCCTATTCAGCAACGGGTGACTGTTGGAAAGCAGAGGTATCCTCTTTCCAGCCTTTCTCTCTCCTTCTCACTAGCTACAAAGCTCTAGAAGGGTATCTGATTGCTCTAGGGACACACCGATCACTGGTGTGGCTATGCACCTAAGCTCTGCACACAGTAGGTGTTCCATCAATATTCGATTCAATACAACTGGAGGCATTATGGCGAAAGAGGGCAAGTGCTGGAGCCTTGGGTTGTCCTCCCACCCAGGTTCTTTCCTGGCTGTGCATCTGCCTCTCTAAGCTTCCCTGCTTGCATTGGACCGTCTTCGATGTCCTCTCTACTTCGGAAAGGCTATGCCTAAGTCTGTCGGCACTGGCCTCTCAGGTCAGTTCTCCTCAGGCCAGCAAGGCCACAACCTCCATCTCAGTTAGAAGAGGCTTTAAGCCACTCCGTGGCTGCTGCTTTCCCTTCAAAGGCCAAAGAATTGTCTTCAGCCCTGACGATGGCTCTTCCAAACCAACGACTGCCGAGGATGTCAATCCCTCCTCCTTTGAACCACTGAGACGCCCACTCCCTGCCCTCCCGGCCCCACCCCCACGCCCGCTGCTGAGTTTTCCCTCCACAAGGTTGACCAAAAAGCAACCCTCCTAGTTACTGACTGTAAGGATCTCGGTCCTCCTTTTCAAACGGTCTTCAGCTAATATGGACAAGAGCCCCGAGCTCGGGCTCGGTAACTACTCCTCAGTGCTCAGGGATCCTCCAGCGCTGTCCTTTGGTGGTGGGTTTCTGCTCGAGTCCCGCTGCCTCCACATGTTCTCCCACCAAAGAGACAGAGCGGGGAAGCGGCGAAGCGGCGAAGCTAGCAGTCGTCGCGGTCACTGCCAGACTCGCTCACTTGTAAGTCACTTCGCAGGATGTCCAGCATCTGGTTGTTTCCCGGCGGCCGGCTGGTGCCATTGGTAGCAGGGTTTCCTCCGCTGAAGTGCGGGCGACGAGGCTGGGAGTGGAAGGCCCGGCGGCCGGCTCGTCCACTTGGCTGCTGGCGCTTTCGTCGTCGCTGGAGGAGGTACTCTCGGAATCCGACGAGCTGCTCCCGCTGCTCCCGCTGCTCCCGCTGCTCCCGCTGCTCCCGCTGCCGCCGCTCCTCCTCCTCTTCGTCCTCCTCCTCCTCCTCCTCCTGTTTTCCAGGATTTCCAGCTCTGCCCTCAGCTCTCTCTTCAGGTCCTCCAAGTCGAGTTCAGGCAAAGGGTTCTCTTGGACTGGAGAGGTTTTTGGCCCAACCCACGGCTTCCCTGGGGCTCGAATGGCTGCTGGAAGTGGGGGTGGTCCAGCTGGGGGCTGCTCCATTGGCGCCTCGATTTGGCTGCTTCCTTCACTTCTTCTCTTCTTGACCTGAATGCTGCTAGTGAGTTTCTCCAACACGCATTCACCAGTGTCATGATTAACGATGAGAACACAGTCTCCCTGGTACGGTCTTTTGTTTCCTTGGTACACCGTCCTCGCATGTGTCGCTCCAGGAACGTGTGGTAGCGCAAGGGTGACTGCATCTCCTTTGGCAACCTGGAGCTCTCCTTCACCTGAAGTGTCTAGGGCTGCTGGTTTAAAATCATAGCGGATGGTGTGGAAGAAGACCTTGGGCGTCTTCTGGAAGCTGTCGCCGAGCTTGAGGCAGTGCTCTCGGCCGTCCAGCAGCGGGTTGGCGGTGCGGTCCTTGGCCCTTTGCCCGCCGGGGAAGCGGCCTGCAGATACCGCCCGCTCCGACCCTTGCGGCCCAGATTCTCAATGGACGCCCTCGCCTCCATGTTCCTAGGCCTCTGATTGCCGCCTTCTCAGAGATTCCTCTCTGGACAGAGAATGCCAGCTCTTCCCCTGGAGCTGTGGCAGCACAAGATGTTGACCCTGAGGGGAGGCGCTGTTTTCTGCGTCTTCCTCTGCTTAGCCCCTCCCTTGACTCCACCCCCACAAGGTGCGGCGACCAACCGGCTTGGGAGAGCCCTTCCAGGCTCTGCCGTCCACGTGAGCCCTGGCCATTCAGCACCACCATCTCTCCAAGAAAACATCTTCACTTCCTCCTAGCACTTGCAAAGCTCTCCAGTTCTCCTACCTAACTGGGTCACGTAGCAAGGATCCATGTCATTGGCACGCACCAGGACCAGCAGGTTTCTGAGCGTCTGAGGTTCTGAGATGGGAAGAGGGCAGGGAAAACCGCCAATCATCATGTCTTTCCCCAAACTGCAGCACCACCCCTCCCCCAGGACTGCCCTTCAATCCTTGCCGCCAGTGGGCAGTGGGGAGAAATGGTCGGCATTTCTCTTGGGAAATAGAGGGACAGCATCAGTATTCTTTGCAAATGTCTTCTTTGGTGTGCTAGCTCTGAACAGAGGGAGAGCAAGGTGTACAGGGGAACAACACTGGCACGCAAACGGAAGGCACGTCACCCAACCCTGCTTGCCTCCTTTTCCTCCCCTGCAGAACGAGGGTGGAGGGAGGGAAGGGTAAACTACTCCAGCACCTTTCCCTAGAAAACCCCCAAGAGAGCCACCAATTGACTGAACAAGCACAATGCCAATCCTGAAGTGGAGGGGCAGTCATTTGCATAGCTAACCCCTTGGTTAAAGAGTCATTGAAATGGGTGGGATCTTGAGTGCAATGCCCCCCCCCCCCGATGCAGAATTGCTTGCCAGGGAAATCAGATTTGTCAAAGAAGCAAAGGTGTCCTTGGAAAACTGTCCAGCCAGAAGCCATCTTGCATGAGCTATACTGTAGGCAGAGTTGATCCAGAATTTGGGGTGGAGGATGATTCCTTGACTCCAACCATGAGAGAAAAGCAGAATAGAAAGTAGGGAAGAATGGGAAGAGTGGAACGATTGAGACTTGGTGCTCTAGGCAAATTTGATGAGAAAAAGACCATTTTCATGTGTGAGTGTGTGTGTGTGTGTGTGTGTGTGTTTGTGTGCTTGCGAACGGGTTGAGTAAGAATCGGATTGCTTCTAGAGGAAAGATACTGTGAGGTGGGTGCTTTGCCATCGATGGGTGCTGGGAACCTGGAAATGCAAGGGCAAAAGACACACGTCCGACGTGGAAAGAATTCCTCTCCAGCCTTCTTTCAGTCTGAGACGAGGGTTATGAACACAGCAGTTGAGGTGGGTGAGAGTTGAAGAAGTGGAGGCACTGGCCAGATTTGAAGAATCTGAGCAATCGAATGGGGCATAAGATGGACGTAGTATCGGGAAAGAACTGAGAAGGGGTATGGATGGAATGAAGGTTGGGAAGCAGCTGGGACAATCCGGAAGGAAGAGACAGTGAAGTTGTGGGCTAGGTTAGAGGTAAGAGAGAATTGGAGATTGGGGCAAGGTCGACAGCACTACTCAAGGAACTGGGAAGGAGTGGGTGCCCCAGGCCAACCCCAGGGCCTGGGCTCTGTGGGAAAGTCCAGGGCTTTGTTGGTGTCCATCATCTGAGCCCCATCCTTATTCCCTCCTCAGCCAAATGGGTACCAGATTCGTCTGGCTTGAGGTTGAAGGTCTAGGCTTGTGAAACTGATTCCCACGCTGGCACGGGCATAGAGCTGGAGGGGGTCCCAGGAGGAGGTTGACCGGAACCTAGCACAGGCTGCATCCAGGGGACGAGGGCATGACCTAGGCTGCTCCCCACTGTTTCTTGCCAACTCTAGCTGATGTGGAAGACACAAATCTGCACGGCCCAAAGAGAGGGAGAAGTCAAAGTGCAGAAGCCCATGAACATCATGTCCATTGCACCTGCAGGGTTATTTGATCTTGTTACTGCCCCGAGCTTCCCCTGGGATTCCAAATAACTTTCTTCCCCAAAGCAAACTGGAGATGTTTCTCATTTCAAATCCGTCACTGGGGATATGGACTGCCTCCCGACTCAGGTGAAAACAGCAAGATCTCACACACTTGCATTGTGCTCAGATCTGTGACTGACCGTTTGCTCTCATGATAGAAATCTGTTCACAAAGCATAAAGCAGATACAAGAGTATTGCGAGGGTGAATTCACAGTTTTCCAGTCGTGAAAGGATCAATTCCACTTCCTAGCCAGACTGAGGAATAGCCAGCTGAGCAACACACCTTTTCAGAGGTACACAATGGGGAAGCTGAGCCAGGAGGGCCCCACCTTAGACTGCAGCTACAATTGCCCTCTCAGCTTTTCCTGATGCAGACCCCACCTGGAACAGTCCCATTCTCTCCGAGTAGGTTGTAGCATTTCTCTTAGAAGGTGGATCATGGACTATTGGATCCTGATGGATTATTGAGATCTATCAGACAACTCAGAGGAAAGTCATGTAAGGTCCCATGAGCTTTGACTTCGAACAGCAAGTTTCATGAAGCACAGCATAGGGAAAACCATTGTTCAGGATCGACACCCCCGTTTTCAATTGGTCCTGGTGTAAAAGGCAATCGTTTGATATCATTTCTAAACACTTGCCAACTGACAGCAAGCCAGGTTCATTGTTTAGGAGCTGCATAAGCCAAAGCCCCTTTTAGAGAGGTTTGCCAAATAAAAGGGATGGATGGGGCCCTCAGAGAAGGGGCTTCCTATCCACCCTATCTCCCCTCAGTGCTAAGGACTGCTGTGGTTGGGCAGAACCGATCTGGATGAGGCTCTCACCTCATCCCCTGCTTTCCACACACAGGGTAATCAAGTACCAGCTTGAGGTCTTCGCATGAAAAGAACAAGCAAGCATCTTAGCATTTTCATAAGTGATAGCCAAATTGTTTCGGCTGTAACCGAATGAGGAAAAGGTGCTAGGCGTAATGGATACCAAAGTTGACCTGTTTGGAACTTGAAAGCAAGCCTTTAGGAATCAGTGAGCCGACTTGCAGTGTGTTGAATGGATTTTCCCAGGACTTTCCCCAGAGAATGGGTATCTCCTGAGGAACATGTCAAAACTCCAACTTTCCTGTCTCCCCAAGGCTGCTGGTGGTGGGTAAGAGAGTTGGTGAGCAGGGTGTGCCGAACCTGGGTGAAACCTGCGGGCGTTCTGGGTTGGCCCAGGATCCAAGGCCATTGGTCAGTGGGGCCCAGGCTGGAGCTGCTGCCCCTCCTTGCCCCTCCATCTCCCCAGCTGGGGGGAGGTGCAATTCCCAGGTGGGGGAGGAAAAGTGAAACTCTCTTGTCCTCCTCTGATCTGGGAGGAGAAGGGTTAAGGGGAAAACTCGGATGTGTTTGCCCCCTCCCCACTGAGTACCCTGTTGATTCCAAGGGAGGGAGTGGGGGAAGGGAATGACCAGGCTTGTAAGGAGGACTTTCCCAACTCTTTGACCATCAAGCACTAAACCTCCACAATCTGCTATGATGTGTGTGTCAGGTCTGACTTTTCAGTGTAGCCTGACTTGGGACTACCACAGGAAGAAGCGGAAGATTTTTTTTCTTTCTTAAATCGGGACCCTAATGCATTGTTGGTGGAGTTGTGAACTGATCCACCCATTCTGGAGAGCCATTTGGAACTATGCCCAAAGTGCTATCCAACTGTGCATACTCTTTGACCCAGCAATACCACTTCGAGGTCTGCATCCCAAAGAGATCATCCAAATGGGAAAAGGGCCCACGGGTGCAAAAATATTGAGAGCAGCCTTTTCTGGTGGCAAAGAATTGGGAAAGAAGGGCATGCCTGTCAGTTGGGAAATGGCTGAGGAAGGGGTGCTATATGAATGTAATGGAAGAGTATTTTGCTATAAGAAATGATGAGGAGGTGGACTTCAGAAAAACCTGAAAGGCACATGATGCAAAATGCTGCCCACATCCAGAAAAAGAACCATGGAAACTGAACGGTGATTGAGGCACAATATTTGCTCTCTCTCTGTCTCTCTCTGTCTCTGTCTCTCTCTCTCTGTCTCTCTCTGTCTCTCTCTCTTTCTGTCTCTCTCTCTGTCTCTGTCTCTCTCTGTCTCTCTGTCTCTGTCTCTCTCTCTCTCCCTCTGTCTCTGTCTCTCTCTCTCCCTCTCTCTCTCTCTGTCTCTCTGTCTCTGTCTCTCTCTCTCCCTCTCTCTCTCTCTGTCTCTCCATCTTTCTCTCTGTTTCTTTTTTCCTTCTGCTTTGTCCCATTAGTTCTGATTCTTCTTTACAATGTGAGGAATTGGAAAAGAGGCTTTTTATGAATGTATATTTTGAGCCTCTCTCAGTTTATCTGCTATCTTGGGGCGTGGACTAGAGAATTTTGAAGAAAATTTGGAACTCAAAACGTCAGGGAAGTGAATGTTGGAAACAGAAAACAAGCAAATAAATAAATTTATTGTTTTTAAAAAAGTTTCTTTTTTTATTTCGTTGACGTTTGACAGTCTATCTTGTTCCTCTAGATCATAGAGGCCAGGCACAAAGCTTCCCTTCTAAAGGTCTTGGAGACGAAGCATTTTCCAGTGGTAAGGTCCGATGGGATGAATTTTTGGTGTGAGCAGAAGCAAGGATCAACCAGATAGAACTGACGCTCATTGGTTTGAATAATCACACATCACTTTATTGATCCACATGAGAACAAATCTATACAGATAGCCACTCGCAGTGTCATGTTCAGTCACATGTCCTACAGAGTCACCCGTATTCCTCAGCGTCATTGACAGGCCTCTGCCCTTTACTGCCCTGGACAGATCATGAGGGATCCAGGGCTACTTTCTTTCTGAGGAAGGTAAGGAGAGACGTCAGGGGGAAGAGGTCCTCCAGAGACTGTGGAGCAGGCAACTGTCTGTGACATCGTCAAAGGCTCTATGTCCCTTTGCCTGATCCAGAGAAACGTCCACTTTCGACTAGGTGGGCTGGACTGAAAGACACGTTGCCAATCCCACAGGAAGAAACAACGTCCAGTTGTAACAGCTGCTAGAGTCCTCCCATCTTCAAAGGCTGATGAGAGCTTCCCCTTTCTGCTGAGGAAATCTTTACAGATGCCCAGATCCCAAGCTGCCACTCAACGGTGTTTGTGGGAGATGAAGGTGTGGGCCCCCAAAGCTGCAGGGACACGGTCCAGTCTGTCTTTGTGGTCAGGCAGGTGTCGAGGGACACTTGCATACTGGACACTCTTCAAATCTTCAGACGGGAGGAGGTGAGGATGGGCTGAGTCCGCATCAAGGGTTCTATCCCTCTGGAAACTCTTGAGCACTTCTCTCAAGCCTGTGATGGGGCAGGTGGTCCAGGCAGGGGAAGCAAGCTCTGTTTCTTCAAGTAGTAGGCACCCCTCACGCCTTTCCCACGTGCCCTTTCTTTCCTGCAGCTCTTCCAAAGGGCACCCGGTCCAAATTCTCTTCTCCTTCTACAGTCCCAGCTTGTAGATTCTGGATTTGTTGGGGCAGCTTGGCCTTGCTGTGCTCCACTTTGACCATGTTGTCTCTGGATTCCTGGTGCGGTCTTTGCACGTATGACTGTTCTTCATCCCAAGAGAACTCGTGCATCTTCCCCTATTCAGCAACGGGTGACTGTTGGAAAGCAGAGGTATCCTCTTTCCAGCCTTTCTCTCTCCTTCTCACTAGCTACAAAGCTCTAGAAGGGTATCTGATTGCTCTAGGGACACACCGATCACTGGTGTGGCTATGCACCTAAGCTCTGCACACAGTAGGTGTTCCATCAATATTCGATTCAATACAACTGGAGGCATTATGGCGAAAGAGGGCAAGTGCTGGAGCCTTGGGTTGTCCTCCCACCCAGGTTCTTTCCTGGCTGTGCATCTGCCTCTCTAAGCTTCCCTGCTTGCATTGGACCGTCTTCGATGTCCTCTCTACTTCGGAAAGGCTATGCCTAAGTCTGTCGGCACTGGCCTCTCAGGTCAGTTCTCCTCAGGCCAGCAAGGCCACAACCTCCATCTCAGTTAGAAGAGGCTTTAAGCCACTCCGTGGCTGCTGCTTTCCCTTCAAAGGCCAAAGAATTGTCTTCAGCCCTGACGATGGCTCTTCCAAACCAACGACTGCCGAGGATGTCAATCCCTCCTCCTTTGAACCACTGAGACGCCCACTCCCTCCCCGCCCTCCCGGCCCACCCCCACGCCCGCTGCTGAGTTTTCCCTCCACAAGGTTGACCAAAAAGCAACCCTCCTAGTTACTGACTGTAAGGATCTCGGTCCTCCTTTTCAAACGGTCTTCAGCTAATATGGACAAGAGCCCCGAGCTCGGGCTCGGTAACTACTCCTCAGTGCTCAGGGATCCTCCAGCGCTGTCCTTTGGTGGTGGGTTTCTGCTCGAGTCCCGCTGCCTCCACATGTTCTCCCACCAAAGAGACAGAGCGGGGAAGCGGCGAAGCGGCGAAGCTAGCAGTCGTCGCGGTCACTGCCAGACTCGCTCACTTGTAAGTCACTTCGCAGGATGTCCAGCATCTGGTTGTTTCCCGGCGGCCGGCTGGTGCCATTGGTAGCAGGGTTTCCTCCGCTGAAGTGCGGGCGACGAGGCTGGGAGTGGAAGGCCCGGGCGGCCGGCCTCGTCCACTTGGCTGCTGGCGCTTTCGTCGTCGCTGGAGGAGGTACTCTCGGAATCCGACGAGCTGCTCCCGCTGCTCCCGCTGCTCCCGCTGCCGCCCGCTCCTCCTCCTCTTCGTCCTCCTCCTCCTCCTCCTGTTTTCCAGGATTTCCAGCTCTGCCCTCAGCTCTCTCTTCAGGTCCTCCAAGTCGAGTTCAGGCAAAGGGTTCTCTTGGACTGGAGAGGTTTTTGGCCCAACCCACGGCTTCCCTGGGGCTCGAATGGCTGCTGGAAGTGGGGGTGGTCCAGCTGGGGGCTGCTCCATTGGCGCCTCGATTTGGCTGCTTCCTTCACTTCTTCTCTTCTTGACCTGAATGCTGCTAGTGAGTTTCTCCAACACGCATTCACCAGTGTCATGATTAACGATGAGAACACAGTCTCCCTGGTACGGTCTTTTGTTTCCTTGGTACACCGTCCTCGCATGTGTCGCTCCAGGAACGTGTGGTAGCGCAAGGGTGACTGCATCTCCTTTGGCAACCTGGAGCTCTCCTTCACCTGAAGTGTCTAGGGCTGCTGGTTTAAAATCATAGCGGATGGTGTGGAAGAAGACCTTGGGCGTCTTCTGGAAGCTGTCGCCGAGCTTGAGGCAGTGCTCTCGGCCGTCCAGCAGCGGTTGGCGGTGCGGTCCTTGGCCCTTTGCCCGCCGGGGGAAGCGGCCTGCAGATACCGCCCGCTCCGACCCTTGCGGCCCAGATCTCAATGGACGCCCTCGCCTCCATGTTCCTAGGCCTCTGATTGCCGCCTTCTCAGAGATTCCTCTCTGGACAGAGAATGCCAGCTCTTCCCCTGGAGCTGTGGCAGCACAAGATGTTGACCCTGAGGGGAGGCGCTGTTTTCTGCGTCTTCCTCTGCTTAGCCCCTCCCTTGACTCCACCCCCACAAGGTGCGGCGACCAACCGGCTTGGGAGAGCCCTTCCAGGCTCTGCCGTCCACGTGAGCCCTGGCCATTCAGCACCACCATCTCTCCAAGAAAACATCTTCACTTCCTCCTAGCACTTGCAAAGCTCTCCAGTTCTCCTACCTAACTGGGTCACGTAGCAAGGATCCATGTCATTGGCACGCACCAGGACCAGCAGGTTTCTGAGCGTCTGAGGTTCTGAGATGGGAAGAGGGCAGGGAAAACCGCCAATCATCATGTCTTTCCCCAAACTGCAGCACCACCCCTCCCCCAGGACTGCCCTTCAATCCTTGCCGCCAGTGGGCAGTGGGGAGAAATGGTCGGCATTTCTCTTGGGAAATAGAGGGACAGCATCAGTATTCTTTGCAAATGTCTTCTTTGGTGTGCTAGCTCTGAACAGAGGGAGAGCAAGGTGTACAGGGGAACAACACTGGCACGCAAACGGAAGGCACGTCACCCAACCCTGCTTGCCTCCTTTTCCTCCCCTGCAGAACGAGGGTGGAGGGAGGGAGGTGTAAACTACTCCAGCACCTTTCCCTAGAAAACCCCCAAGAGAGCCACCAATTGACTGAACAAGCACAATGCCAATCCTGAAGTGGAGGGGCAGTCATTTGCATGACTAACATCTTTGCTAAGGCATGATTGAAACGGGTGAGATTTCTAGTGCAATGCACCCTTAATGCAGAATTCTTTGACTGGGAAATCAGCTGAGAGTTTTTTTTGGATAACTGTGCCATAGTCGTGATAGAAAAAATTCTGAGTGACATTTTCCATGAGTAGTAGGGTAATGTCCACAGCAAGAAAGGGTCTTTCAGGACTGTAGAGGGAGCTAGGGAACATAAGGGATTATTGAGTTGTAGATCTGGGAGAGATGCAGAAAAATCATGACTAAACATCTGAAGCTGAACTAAGTTAAAGAGTTGGACACCTGAATGGGGTAAAAAAAAATTGTATCATCAGTTTCACTGACCTCTCATTGAAACTTCGCATTTCTTTCAGTTATTTTATTTATTTATTTATTTATTTTGGCTAAGCAATGGAGTTAATTGATTTGCCCTGGGTTACACAGCTACTAAATATTATGTGTCTGAGGTCAGGTTTGAACTCGGTTCCTCCTGAATCCAGGGCTGCGGCTTTATATACTGAGCCACCTAGTTTCCCCTCTTTCAGTTATTTTAAAACTTTATTCAGGGAAGTGATCCATAGAATTCACCAGGCTGCCAGTGAGACCCTGCAAATCAGAGAAAAGGTTAAGAACTCCTCTGGACATACTTTCAATGCATCTCTTTCCAATCAGAGAACATTATCACTTATGGATACAATAAGTAAGAATTGAATACAAGAGCATCAGTGACTCCAGGACAGTTTTGCTGGAAAGACCTTAGACATGCTCTAATGCAGGGGTGGAATTCCTGTAGCCTTCGGGCCAGTTGTGGCCCCATAAGTCCTTGGGTGGGGCCTTCTGACTGAGTCCAAGTTTCACAGAACAAATCCTTTTAGTAAGGGGATTTGTTCTGTGAAGTTTGGGTTCAGTCAATGGGTGGCACTTGAGGACATAGGACACATGTGACCTAGGGGATTTTGCTTCCCCATTCCTGCTGTAATGCAACTATTTCAAGTGACCCAGAAATGACTTGTACAAGGTCACACAATCAAATAACAGTAGAATGCCTCCCCATAAACCCCAACTTCCTTTTGGATTTCATTTGGCCTCCGGTGTCCAAACTTCTGACCTGTTATTACTTTTGGGTATAAGCTCTGATGGGATTTTTTTCCCCGATGGTCGGTATAAACAAGATAGACTTTATTCTCATTGGTTTTAAGAGTCATACATCACTTTATTGATCAACATGAGTTCAAATATACAGAAAGGCATTGCAGTGTCATGTTCAGTCACTTGTCATAGAGTCACTTGTTAATGAGCATTATTGACAGCCCTCTCCTGATTTCTCTACTTGACTGATAATGAGTGACCCAGGGCTACTTTCTTTATTAGGAAGGCAAGGAGAGAAGTAAGGGCAAAGAGGCCCTTCAAAGACTATGTTTGAGAGACTGTGGATAAGGCAACTCTCTGTGGCTTCGTAAAATGCTATATGCCCTTTTTCATAATCTAGAAAAATGCCCACTTTTTTCATAGGTGGGCTGGACCGAAAACCTGTTTGTAAATTCCAGAGAAAGAAACATCTTTCAGTTCTAATACCTGCTAGGGTCCTCATATCCTCATAGGAAGGGAGCTTCCCCTTTCTGCTGACTGAATCTTTACAGATGCCCAATTCCCACTCAGTCTTATCTCCTACATCCATTTCCCAGTAGTGTTTGCCTGAGGTGAAGGCCTGAGCCCCCAAAACAGCAAAAAGATGGTTAAATCTGTTTTTGTGGTCAGGCAGGTCCTGACAGAGACTTCCATACTGGACACTCTTCAAATCTTCAGACAGGATGAGCCGATTCAGGATCCAGAGTTCTATCCCTCAGGAAACTCTCGAGCACTTCTCTCAAGCCTGTGATGGGGCAGGTGGTCCAGGCAGGGGAAGCAAGCTCTGTTTCTTCAAGTAGTAGGCACTCCTCACGCCTTTCCCACGTGCCCTTTCTTTCCTGGAGCTCTTCCAAAGGGCACCTGGTCCAAATTCTCTTCTCCTTCTACAGTCCCAGCTTGTAGATTCTGGATTTGTTGGGGTGGCTTGGCCTTGCTGTGCTCCACTTTGACCATGTTGTCTCTGGATTCCCGGTCCAGTCTTTGCACGTATGACTATTCTTCATCCCATGAGAACTCATGCAAATATTGATATTCTTCATCCCATAAGAACTCATGCAGCTTCTCATATTCACACGTAATAGACTGCTTCCATGTTTCGGCATCCTCCTTCCATCTAGTCTCTCTCCTTCTTACTTCATCCAACATAGCTTTAAATTCCTCCTCTTTTTCCTGTAAGACAGTGCGGGTCTCCTGGAGCTTGTCTTTGCCCTTGTCAGCAGCTGTTTCCAAGGGAAGCACTTGGCAATCCTTGTGCTCTGGGGCTAATAAACAGGAATCACAGAGGACTGTCTTGTCTTCCTCACAGAAGAACTTCTCTTTTTCCCCATGTTGATCACAGGTGGTTAGGTCCACCAAGCCCTGCAGCAAATGAGGTCTGAGCATTTTGCTAGTGATGGACAGATTCTGCAGGTTCCTGGTGGGCACCAAGTCACTGTCTTGAATGACTCCTCTGCACTCTGGGAAGGTCCAGGTTTCATTGGCTCCCTCCCTGCACTGGAGAAGATACACTTTGCAAAATCTATGGCCACATTTGATAGTCACTGGGTCAGTGAAGTAGCTCAGGTCGATAGAGCAAGTGAGATCTGCCTTGAGGTTTTCAATGAAGGCTCTTGAGTCCATGTTCCTAGTTCTCTGATTCCTTCCTTCTCAGATATTGCTCTCAGGAGAGAGAATGCCAGCTCTTCTCCTGCAGCTCTGGCAGCTAAAAATGTTAGCCCTGAGCTGGGCAGTCATTTTATGTGTCTTCCTCTGCTTAGCCCCTCCCTTTACTCCACCCCCTAAAGGTGAGAACTCCTGGCTTTGGAGAAGGCTTGCAGGCTTTGCTCTAGATCTGAGTTCTCACCTTTCTCCTAATCCTGCAATTTAGCATCGCTATCTTTTTATATTTTAATTTTTTGCTGTTTTTGGTGAGGCAATCAGAGTTAAGTGACTTGCCCAGGGTCACACAGCTAGTAAGTGTCAAGTGTCTGATGCCTGATTTGAACTTAGGTCCTCCTGACTCCAAGGCCAGAACTCTATCTACTGGGCCACCTAGGTGCCCCCAACATCACTATGTGTTGAAGAAAACATCTTCACTTCCTTTTAGGACTTGCAAAGGTCACCAGTTATCCTACCTAACTTGCTTATTTAGCAAGCACCCTCTCATTTCCAAGCATCAGGACCACCACATTTCTGAGGTTCTGATGTTCTGAGATGGAAACTGGGCAAGGAAAATGCCCAATCACCATCTCTGCTCCCAAACTGCATCCCCCCATAACAAACACATGTATGAAACTTTGGTATTCCTACCACCTCAGCCTCTCTTTTTTGTTCCCTCTCACTGTTATAATTCAGTGGCTGGGACTAAGATGGCAGTTATACACACACACACACACACACACACACACACACACACACACACAAATGTTTGTCTTCCTTCCCTCCTTCCTTCCTCCCTTCCTTCCTTCCTTCCTTCCTTCCTTCCTTCCTTCCTTTTCCTTCCTTCCTTCCTTCCTTCCTTTCTTCTTTCTTTCTTTTTTCTTTCTTTCTTTCTTTCTTTCTTTCTTTCTTTCTTTCTTTCTTTCTTTCTTTCTTTCTTTCTTTCTTTCTAATGGGAAACTTCTGATTCCATTCTTCTCAGACATTCCACTCAAAAAAGATAAGGCTAGCTCCTTTCTAAGAGCTCTACCAGCAAAAGATGTCAGAACTGACTTACTGAGATCCTTTTTTTACAGCTTGTCCCTTCTAGCTCCTCTTTTTTACCCCTTTCTCAAAAGGGGAAAACTCCTGTGTCCCAAAGTGCTTCTAATCTCTGTAATGGGGCTGAGTTCTCACCTTTTCCCATGTTAGCATGATGGACCTTCCAGGTTCCCAATGGAGGTCACACCTAAGCACTTTAGACTGGAGTTGTCCTGCCCTTCATTCCTTCCAACCATTGTGGATTGGGTAGAAATGACTGGGATTTTTAATTGGAAATGTAGTGACAGCTTCAATATTGTTTTGCAATGTCTTCTTTGGTGTGATTGCTCTAGAGAAAGAAGAATGTCTATAGGGAAGAACAAGGGTACAAAAACAGAAGGGAGCAAAATAAGTTTATTTTGTCAAAAGTCTCCCCTCAATTTCCTACCCTCTATTCATCTGTTGGGGTCTTATTTGTTAAATTATTCCATTTACATTTACTTCTGTAGACATCTTATATTTCCTGATTCAGTGGAATTTCCTGACTCTATTGTGGTCCTCAATTGTATTGTTTCTCTCTCTGGGACCAACATCCTTTTTTCCTTCTTCTTCTTCTTCTTAATAGTATTTATTTTTTTCCCCCTAATTACATGTAAAGATAATTTTCAGCATTTATTTTTGTAAGGTTTTGAATTCCAAATCTTTCTCCCTCTCTCCTTTCCCTGCCCCCTCCACAAGACACCAAGCAATCTGATTTAGGTTATGCATGTACAATCATGTTAAACATATTTCCACATTAGTCACCAACATCTTTTAAAAAATTTAAGTATAAAATTTGTTATAATCTTTCTTGAATGTATTGTTCATAACATCAGTTTTTTCTTTTCCTATTTTTACCTTTAATTTTTCTTTTTGTTTACATCCAGTAAACAAAAAAATTTTAAGTTGTTTTTTAAAAAACTTTTGAGTTCCAAATTCTCTTTCCCCCTCCCTCTCCCCCCTCTTTGAGAAGGCAGCAGTTTGATGTAGATTATAATTGTGTAGTCAATCAAAACATCCATATTAGCCATGCTGCAGAAGAAAATGCAGACCCCCAAAGGAATGAAAAAATTTTAAAAAGTATGCTTGAATCCACATTCAACCTCCATCAATTCTTTCTCTCAGGTTTGAGAGCATTTTTTATAATCAGTCCTTCAGAATCGTTTTAGAACATTGTACTGAGCCTCCTGTATTTAGGAGCATCATCGTCATCCCTCTACAACAGCACTCTGGCAGTAGCCTCCATAGACATCCCTGACATCAGAAGAGCAATAGTACCCTGGTATCTCAAGACGGTAGTATCACCAATATCAGATTCCTCCCCCACAAAATGAGCTGGAGAAGGAAAGGGCAATCTACTCTAGTATATTTGCCAAGAAAACCCCAAGTGGTGTCAGCAAATGACTGAACAACCATAACAACAATCCTTAACTGGAGAGGAAGTAATTTAAATAGCTAGCGACATAGTCAATTAGTCATTTAAATGGGTCAGTTCCTGGGTGAAATCCCACCCTAATGCAGAATTCCTTGATAGATAAATAAGCAGAGAATTTTGTTTGACAACTTTGATCATTAATCAAAGTGATTTCTAAAAGAAGCAAAGGCGTCCTTGGAAAACTGTCCAGCTAGAAGTCATTTTCCATGAACTATATATACTATAGGAGAGTTGATCCAGAATTTGGGTGGAAGGTAATTCCTTGACTACAACCATTACAGAAAAAGATAATAAAAAGTAGAGAATAATAGCAAAAGTGGAGAAATTTATCAAAGTACTCTAGAAAAATTTGATGATAAAAAGAACATTTTCAGTTTCAGGGTGGGAAGGTGGATGCTTAGGAAAAGCTTTACTAAGAAGAGGAATTCCTCATTAAGGAACAATACTTAGAGGTGGGTAATGTAAAGTGTTATCCCCGTTTTATAGATGACAAAACTGAGACTCAGAACAACTAACTTACTTAAGATCCCATTGCTATTAAATGTCAAAGCCAGAAGTTGAGCCCAATTTTTTTTGGGGGGGGGTCCTTGACCAGTGTTACTTCCAGCTGGCTTTTCATCCCTCATCCATCTCCCATTCTGAACAATATGAAATTTACATCATATAGATGAGTAATGAATTTTGTAGTGTTTTGTATTGCCTGGTCTTGTATCATGGGTCTTTACAACTAGTCTGTAAGGTCCTTGTGGCTGGTGACTTTTCATAGCCCCACCTCCCTGATATCCAATTCACTTGCAAGCCATGACATTTCCTTCCTGATGTCATGGTCCTGTTTGAAAATGAGTAATAGTAGCTGCCCCACTGGGGACCCAACAGGCCAGTTCCATTGGTCAATGCAACTCCTTCCTTCCTTCCATTGTTCCCTCTTTTCTTTCTTCTGTCCCTCCTTCCTCTCCCTTCATCTTCTCCTTCTGTCCACATAGGCTACCATACATTGACTTGCACGTGCTCTGCCCAAAGGAATATACATTTTGCTCACTGAAATGTCACAAGGCATCTTGGGGTTTATGGCTTTAGGTTTCTGTTTTCATGAATTTTTTTTAGAAACAGCTTTATTGATGCCTTTTGTTCTTACATCATCATTTCTGAATATGCCCCCTTTCCTGTGTCTCACTCCCACTCCACCAAGAGCCTTTCCTTGTATCAAAGAGAAAAGAAATAACATGTGAGCAAAACTAATTGACACATCAAAACACATCTGACAGTCTATACCACATTTTGTGCTATAACTCTACAATGTAACCCTTCTTTTTCCATCTGGAACTTGAACTCCTACCCCTGTAGTCCTGAGCTATGTTCATATTCTGTTATTTCAGTTGTGTCCAACTCTTCCTGACCCCATTTGGGGTTTTCTTGGGAAGATACTAGAGTGGTTTACCATTTTCTTCTCCAGTTCATTTGACAGATGAGGAAACTGAGGCAAGCAGGATTAAGTGACTTGCCCAGGTCATACAACTAGTAAGTGGCAGAAGCCAGATTGGAACTCAAGAAGATGAGTCTTCCTGATTCCAGGCCTAGCACTTTATCCACTGTGCCTCCTAGCTGCCCTCACCTTAGCTAGTCTCAGGCCCATCATGTCACGTTTCAGCCATCTCCACGCTACAATGAAGCAGATATCCTCCCTACCTTTCCAACTATAGTTTTATGTTTTGTATTATAATGCAAGCTCTTTGAGAGTAAGAACTGTATTGCTTGTTTGTTCCTGTAGTCCCAGCATTTAACACAGTGACTGGTACCCAGTCAATGTTTAATAAATGCTTGTTTATTCATTCATTCATTTATTCATTAGTTTGTTCATTTGTTCATCCATTCATAGTGCTATATCTCTCCAATGAAAGTTTTTTCTCATCTTTTCTTTGGGGCCAAGACTGGGCACTGGATATGAACTTTTTTCTCAGAACTCCCTTTCTCTTTCTATCTCTCAATTCCCTATTGTAGTACACTATGGATTACACCAGGGATTTGCATTCAGTAGGTATAGAATCAATGTTTTTTGAATGAATAATGAATAATACCATAAGATGGTAATGAAGTGGATTGGCTATATTGGATCAGGGTGGCTTGAATGAATTTTAGTACTTCCACTACATGTATCCGCAGTAAATAGCCATGATACAAGCTCCTCCATTTTCTAATGAAGCACTTTTTTCTAATTCAATTTTATTTTTCAATTAATGAAAGTTTGCCTCCTTTTTCTCCCACCTCCTTCTCTCCACCTCACCCCCAACTAGTTAGAAAGCAAGACAAATAAACCCCTTGTTAAAAAGGTATAGTTCAACTCAAAAAATTACTGAATGGGGAGGGGTTTAGAAGGGGAGAAAGATTTTAGTCTACATTGAGTCTATCACTTTTCCCTGTGGAGGTGGATAGCATATTTCACCATGTGTCCCCTAGAATTGTAGCTGGTCATTACAGTAAGTCTTTTAAAGTGGTTCGCCTTTATAATATTGTTATTGTGTAATGGTTAGTCTGGTTACGCTTACTTTCCTCTGCATCAGTTTATACAAATCTTCCTAGGTTTCCCTAAAATGTCATCATTTCCTACAGCATAATAGCATTCTATCACAACCATGTCTTAAGTTTTCAAGCCATTCCCTAAATAATGGACATTCCCTTGGTTTCCCTTTCTTTGCCACCATCAAAAGAGCCACTATAAATAAATATACTTATGAAGTCCTTTTCCTCTTTCTTTGATCTCTTTTGGGTATAGACCTAGTGGAGTTATGTCTAGGTCAAAGGCTATGCACAGTTAAATAGCTTTGGAGGCACAGTCCCAAATGGTTTTCCAGAATGGCTGGACCAGTTCCAAGAAGTAAGTGACAATAATGGACAGAATCTCAGAGGTAATAGTGACCTTGCAGGAGTTCTAGTTTGATCCATACCTCTAGCCCACCTTGAGAGTAGGAACTGTATTGCTTACTTGTGCCTGTAGTCCTGGCACTTAACACAGTGACTGGTACATAGTCAATGTTTAATAGGAAGACTGCCACATTAAATACACTTTTAGTGGTATTATGGTTGGTTTTTTTTTGGGGGGGGTGAGGCAATCAGAGTTAAGTGACTTGCCCAGGGTCACACAGCTAAAAAGTATTATGTGTCTGAGGCCGGATTTGAACTCAGGTCCTCCATGACTCCAAGGCCAGTGCTCTATCCACTGAGCCACCTAGCTGCCCCCTAGTCATTGTTTAATAAATGCTTGTTTACTCATGCATTCATTTATTCATTAGTTTGTTCATTCATTCATAGTGCTGAGACTTAGAGGAGATCCCACCTCTAAATCTGCTACTTATGTGACACTTAATCTCCTGCATCTCTATGTCCTTATGTGTATTAGGAGGAAGAACTCTGAAGTACCTTGTAGCTCTAGGGAGACTAAGTCCATTATCCTAAGAAACCCTCCCCCCACCCCTTTTTTTAGAGGTGATTGGGGTTGAATGATTTGCCCAGGGTCACGAAGTTTATAAAGCTCAAGTGTTTGAGGCTGGATTTGAACTCAGTTCCTCCTGACTCCAAGGCTATTGCTCTATCCATTGAGCCATCTAGCTACTCCTTAAGAAACCCTTCTACAACATACTCAAGGAGCTGTAAATCAGTCTTTGCCAACTTCAATTCAAGAGCAACTTACTTCTTCCCTAGAGTAGCAGAAAACCCTCTCAAAGCCTCACAAAGTCCTCACAGAGCCCAATTTCCTCTTTGATTTTACCCAGCCTCCCCACACCAAACCTCTTTTGCCCTGTGTGTGATGTATTACTTTTTCATTTCCTTTTTTTGGAGGCAATGGGGGGTAAGTGACTTGCCAAGGTTCACACAGCTAGTAAGTGTCTGAGGACAGATTTGAACCCAGGTCCTCCCAATTCCAGGCCTGGTGTTCTATCCACTTCACCACCTAACTGTGTATTACTTTTTTGGCTAAGGTTTCCTGGTAAGAAAGAGGTAACGACTTTGGGAAAAGTTCTTAACCTGGGGCCAGTGAAATTAAAAAAAAATGTTGATAAGTGCATTTCAGTATAATTGGTTTTCTTCCTCTGTATTTTATTCTAGGAATTAAGGACTATTATTCTGAGAAAGCGTCTATAGGCTTTGCTAGACATTGAAAAGGGGCCTTGATACATAAAAAGAGTGAAATACCTCTTCATTTTTAAAAGGCTTGAAAGGATAGTCTGGATTGCAATCATGTAAAGGAGTAACTGGCACTCCCATAGTCTTGAAAGAGTTAATGCCCTTTCTGGAAGTAAGCCTCAGGGTGGATCAAGCCCATTGTTTACATAACCTCAGACCTACTCGCAGACCTGATCCTTGTACTTGAGCAAAGGTAACTCTAGTTTCTAGGACCATTCTCTTTTGTCTGTTTCCCCCTGCCTTCAAAAAAGCTTGCTTGCTTTGTAAGGTGTGTTACCTTCACCAAGTTGACAGGCTTTCTTTTCTCTCCCTCCCATTCTACGAATAATTCAGCCATCAGGAAGGGGCCAGAGGAGAGATGGCTAGTGATTCAGTCTTATTGGCTGCAGTCTCTATTCTATCTACCTGCCAGCAAAGTAAGTATTCCTGGGATTGAGTTAGGGGGAGAGGGGCCAGGCTGGGAGGAGAGAGGGGATGAGGTGCTCTGCATAAAGTGAAAGTCTGTGGGCTTACTACTTAGTTCTGAGGCCCTCTTTGCTTAGCAGGCCGAGGCTTGTTCAGGGCTGCCAGGGCTCTTGTGTTATTAGCCCTCCCCTGTGAGCCAAAGGGACTCAGAATCGAGCAAGAGATTAGCTCTCCCAACTGGATGCTTGGTACACCCTGTGCCTGAAGCTCTCCATGACTTTTATTATTCTGTGGCTGCAGTCACTGCCCCAAGCCAGTGGACATTAGTCACACACTAATTTGGGGGTAGTTTGGGCTCTGAAATTGATCTGAGCATTCCACTAGGGAATGTTTTACATGAAGTATTTTTCACCTGGGGTTTAAGGACCCTCTAGCAAGAGATTTCAGGGAGTCTATGAACTTGGATGGAAAAACAATTATGTTTTTATTTTTACTCACTGCTAACTGAAATTGTGCATTTCCTTTAATTATGAATTTAAAAAAACATTGTTCTGAAAAAAGTAGGCTTCCTCAGACTGCCGAAAGGGTCTATGACAAAACAAAGGCAGAAAATCCCTGTTCTCAATGATCATCTTGATTTCCTGAACACTATTAAGATTTTAATTAATTCATTTTCTGAAATCAATTGAATATCACTTGGGATTATTAGATTAATATATTTTTCCCTTTTCCTCTCATCAAAATAGGATCCTGAGATTACCTTTAAATTCTAAAGTTCTTTCCCACAAAGAATATTAAATATTTAGGTTATGCATTTCAATAGAGACCTTTTGTTGTACTGGAAGCCCAATTTGTTTAATTCAAATACTGTATTATCTGTTGCCTCTTTACTGATGCCCTTGGGTAGTGGATAGTGCTTGCCTTGGAGACCAGAGAAACCTGGGTTAGCAGTTCTACCTTTGACCCCTTAATAGCTTTATGACAAACCACTTAACATTTCTGAATCTCAGTTTCCTCTTCTGTAAAGTGGAGATATTAAAGCATTAATCTTGACTGGTTTCTGTGAGACTCAGATGAGATAAACTGCACCCTATGCTTAGAATGTTTTTCCTCCTCCCCTCTGCTTCCTGGTTTCCCTAGCTTCCTTCAAGATGTCTTTCAGCTAAAATCCCACCTTCTGCAAGAAGCTCTTCTGGTGTCTTCCCTCTGAGATTATTTCCCATCTGTCCCGTATATCTGTTGTATGTTCATAGGAGTCAACAAGTTGTCTTCCCCATTAGATTTTGAGTTCCTTGAGGGCAGGACCCTGTTTTTGCCTTTTTTTTCTGTTTCTCCCCAAACTCCACTTCTTAGGATATTGCCTGGCACATAATAAGAACTTAATCAATGCCTATGGATGGACTGATTATATGAAGTGCTTGGCAAACCTCAAAATTCTAGATAGATGTAAGCTATGCTTATTATTTACTCAACAAGACAAGATGGTTCTGATCACTGGTGAACAAGACTCCATATAAAATGCAAGATTTTGTTAGTAGGTCTGTTCCAGGAAAAGATTGAGGTTTTGGGGGTTTGGTTTTTTTAAAAAATGGTTTCTGGGGCAGCTAGGTGGCACAGTGGATGGAGCACCGGCCCTGAAGTCAGGAGGACCTGAGTTTAAATCCGGCCTCAGACCAAACACTTGACACTAGCTGTGTGACCCTGGGCAAGTCACTTAATCCCAATCGCCTAAAAAAAAGTTTTCTTCATCTTTTTTTGTCTTGAGATGACAGATATTTCCCATTCCTCTCTTCTTTGTTACAAAAAACCCAATAAAACAAAAAAAATCAGATACAGAAAACTGACTTTACAAGGTATACAATATTCTGTACTACTTGCTGCCCTCCCCCACCCCCCCAAGGCAGGAGGTGTGGTTCATTATCTCTCTGCATGGACTTTTCTTAGTTTTCCCTTTGCTTAGAGTTCAACTTCCTTTTCATCTGTATTATTGCAGTCATCTTGTATGTTTTTCTCAATTCCACTTATTTCACTGTGAGTTCATTCATTTTCCACTGTTACTGTGAATCCCTCACTTTTGTCATTCCTCATTGTACTGCAATAACACATGACATTCATATACTACAGATTTTTATGTCATTCCCCAATTGACGGCCATCCATTTTGCTCACTGTTCTTTGCTACCACAAAGAATCTTTCGATGAATATTTTAACATGTACTGAACCTTTGTTTCCATGTGATGTCCTTGGGGTCTATGTTCAACAATGCTGTAGACAGTTTGGTCATTCTTTTACATCATACCAAATTGAAACCCAGAACCACTTCACAGCTCCACCAATAGCGTATGAATATGTCTTTCTTCTTATAGCCCTCCTGACTGATTGTTTCCATCTTTTGCCATCTTTGCCAATTTGCATGAAGTGAAGTAAAACCTCACCATTATTTTGACTTGAATTTCTCTTTTTCAGATACATTCTATGTGATTCACATGTCCATTTATTGTTTTCAAATCTACTTTTGAAAACTGCTTGTTCATATCCTTTGATAACTTATCTATTGAGGAAATGGTTAAAGTTTTATTGTCCAGGATGTATAACTAGCCAGAATTATCAATGTTCCTTTACTGGAGGGAAAAGTCCAAAGTGTCTCAGGCTACTTAGCTTCCTGTATTACTGTATTTGACTTGTGTACTTATGGAATTCTTGCACTGTATACTCTGGAGTGTGATATTAATGTCTTCTTAGGTGCAAGTCAGGATATGTTACTTTTGGATTCCTAAATTATTCAACATGCATTCATTCAGTGCCTACCTTTCCTTTTAACTCCAAATCTTATGATCCTACCATATGCAAAGCCCTCTGCTAGGCACTGAGGGTGGAGCGGAACTGTGAAACAAAATATAGATAAGAGATATCTCTAACTTCAAGAAGCTTATCTACAGCATTTGCCTCTTTGGGAACTCAAGACAGATCTGAAGGAGTGTCCCCTGCCCCTTCAACAGCCAGAGAAAGCAGTTGGCCTGAGGATGTACTGCTCATTTTCACAAAGAGCTTTCTCTGTGGTTGGTCCAGTGGGTAGTTTGGGTTAAGAGACAGAAAAAATAGATGGGCTGGTTGACAGATGTTTGGGTGAGGACCAGAGAACTCAGATTAGAGCCTAGTGCAGGGGCAAGTATTTTTTTTTAAATTTAAATAGAAGGCCACATGATCAGAAATCCACATATGTATGGACCACATGCATTTAATTATATGTAACTAATTACCTTCAGCCTCAAATTATAATGACTAATTGATCCAAATCCCTCAGTACAACACTTGAGGCAGGAGGAAGACAGATGGGTAGGTTGTACTTGACTCCTACACCATGTGTGAATTAGGTTTTTAAAAATCTGTTTTTGCTGGAACATGATGGATCTGTGTCAGGTCACTGAACAGTCAGGAGGGCCTGGGAGAGGGACTATATGTGTGTTAGAAAGAATATTGGAAGGCTTGGACTTGAATTCCTGCTCTGCTATTTACTGCCTTTTCCTTCCTGGACCTCCGTTTCTTAATCTGTGATGAGAGAAGGCAGAACTACATGATGCTGAAAATCCCATAGGCTCATAGATTTAGAATTAGAAGGGACATTTGAGGTCTTTGAGACCAATTCTTGCATTCTCTAGATGAGGACACTGAAGACCCTAGAGGTTAACCTGGATCCAAGGTCATACCTCAGTCTTCTTGACTCAAAATCCAGTGCCCTAACCATTACACCACATTCTCTCTTCCAGTTTGAAATCCATTGATTATATGACTAATGAGAGCAAGAAGTATTTAGATAGAGGTTGAAGAAAAGTAGAGAAAGAGAGGCAGGAAGGCAAAAAAGACAGAGCAGAACATTTGTTCACCTGCAATCTGGAACCTGAATAGGCTCTCCTGTTGGAACAAAAGCCAGTATCTCTTACAGAGTGAGTCTGTGGAATGGCTTTCTCCTCCATTTATGAGGGCTCAGCCAGGTGTTCCTGTAGACCAGAAGTGCCTAAATAAGGAGAGTGGGGGGAGTTATGAAGGTCCTGATTTTTCCAATTGGAAGTCTGCAGAGAATAGCAGAGGGACAGAAGAAAACAAAGGGAAGGAGGGCAAGAGAACATTCAGGTGGGGTGGATTTGAAATCAATTCAATGGTTTTGTCCAAGTCATTCAATCCATTTGACAACACCCAAACTTTTGTTAAGAGTCTTCTATCTACCAGACACTGAGCTGAGTTCTGGGAATTCAGGCACAACAGTGAAATAGCTTCTTCCCTTGAGAAGCTTATATTCTAGGTTGGGGGGGGGATGGACAATTTGTGCACATATAGGTATAAACACAAAAGATAGAAGGTAATTTTTAGGGAATCAGGAAAGGCTTTGTTTAGGAGATGGTTTTTGAGCTAAGTCTTAAAGGAAAGCAGAAATTCTAAGAGGCAGAGGCAAGGAAGAATGAACAACAGGCTTGAGGAGGCCAATGTAAAGGCATGGAGACAAGAGCTGGAGTCATGTTGGAGGAATGGTTAGAAGGTCAATTTGACGGAATCATATTGTACATAAAGAGTAGTAAAATACAACATGACTAATGTGAAAATAAGTTTGATAGGAATGTAGAACCTATATCCTGCATGCCATATTGGGGTGGGGTGAGAGGAGAGATGAGGAGAAAATTTGGAACTCAAAATCTTGTGGAAGTGAATGTTGAAAACTAAAAATAAATAAATAAATGAAATTTTAAAAAAGAGTTGTAAAACGTACAGTGGTAGATAGGTAGCTTCGGGATCAAATTGTGAAGGACTTTAATCACTGAAATAATAGAGGGCCCCTGGAATGTATTGTCTAGGGAGAAACATGGTCAGACTTGGGATTTAGGTAAAGTCACGTTGGCAGCTGGGAGTAGGATCAATTGGAGTAGGGAGAGATTGGAGGAGAAAGACCAATTAAAAGGCTATTCAGATAGCCCAGGTGAGAGGTAATGAGAGCCTGAACAGGAGTGGTGGCATTTTG